ATGTCCCAGAGAAGTTAATGGAAAGGACACCCAAATGGGCAACCGCTGTGTTGGGCAAGAGGAATGATAATAAATGGCTTCTGTTTCTAATCCACTCCACACCAGCTCCTTTGCAGATACCGCATGGATTGCTATGTGCCTGGCACTTTACACAGGATAATATACAAAATCCTCAAGACTAACAGGTAGGTATTGCTATCGCAGTGTTACAACTGGACTCTGAGGTTCTGATGGGTTAAGAGACTTGCCCAAGGTCACCCAGCAGATAAAAAGTGGCTGGGTGGCCAGGCCCAGCACTTTGGGAGGCCAAGGCGGGTGGATCACTTGAGGTCAGGAGTTTGAGACCAGTCTGGCCAACATGGCAAAACCCCATCTCTACTAAAAATACAAAAATTAGCCAGGTAGAGTGGCACGTGCCTGTAATTTCAGCTACTCAGGAGGCTGAGGCAGGAGAATCACTTGAACCTGGGAGGTGGAGGTTGCAGTGAGCCAAGATCCCACCACTGCTCTCCAACCTGCACTGCACTCCAGCCTGGGCAACAGAGTGAGACTCTGAAGTAGCTGGGAAAAAATCCAGTTCAGCTGACTCCAAAGACAGTACATTCTCTTCCATGTGGCAATCCCCCTCAAACCACTACCTCACCCAGCCCCACCCTCACCTGGACATAAATGACTATCTTTTTTTTTTTTTCTGAGACAGGGTCTCGCTGTGTCACCCAGGCTGGAGTGCAGTGTTGCAACCATAGCTCACTGCAGCCTTAAATTCCTGGACTCACGTAATCCTCCCACCTTAGTCTCCCACGTAGCTGGGGCTACAGGCGTGCATCACAACGCCCAGCTAATTTGTTTTTATTTTTTGCAGAGATGGGGGTCTCACTGTATTGCCCAGGCTGGTCTCAAACTCCTAGGCTCAAATGATCCTCCTTCCCTAGCCTCCCAAAGTGTTAGGAATACAGGCATGAACCACCATGCCTAGCCATAAATGGTTTTCTGAAGTTTCAAAAACAAGGCCGATTATGCTTCCCTATTGATAAGAAAGCATTTCTTCCAGATTTCATGACCAACATAGACAAGAGCAATGCCCCCACTGGGGCTGACGCAAGAGGGGGGCCCAGCCCTTCCAGAGAGCCCCGGAGCACCTCACCCAGTCATTCTCCCATGTCCTCATCCACCCCTCCTACAAACTTCAATGACGAACGGGGCTCCCCAAAACCCTCCCAGTGCCACCAGCCCCATACCATGTCCTGGGGTAAGAGGTGGGAACAGAGCAGCATCTGTGTCCCCACCTGAGCCCTCCCCCGACCTCTGTCAGTGGCTGCCCAACAGACGAAAGTTCAAAATGTGAGGCGCTGTGTGATCTCAGAGAGAGAGAGAGCAGTCCTGGGCTTGGAACGGGCTGCGGAGGGTAGGGATTGTTGTTGAAGATAAAGAGGGAGGAGTTTGTTGGAGAGGGAAAGTAAGAGAAGCATTTCTCCTCCTAAGCTCCGGAAGTTTTCTGCTCCTGGGAGCCCAGGAGGTTAGGGGTGGGATGCAGTGGGCTGCCAGTTCATAAAAGTTGGGGAACGGCAAGCAGGAAGGAAGCTGGGGTCAATGGTCCAGCAGAGATCACCACGGACTCTGACATCTTTGCCTAAAGTCACCCAGGGGAAAGTGGCAGAACAGGGCAGCTTCCTTGCAAAGATGGCAGCACTCCCCACCGTCCCCAGAAAACACAGAAAGACACTCCTGTTTATCTGCAGTGGGCTGAATGGTAGCCCCCACAAAGCCAGGGCTTAACCCCCAGGACCTGGACATTATCTGGAAAAAGAATAATGTGGAAAATGGGTCTTTGCTGATGTAAGTAAGTTAAGGATCCTGAAATGATTTCTACCTGAATTAGCCGAGGGAGCCCTAAATCCGAAGACAAGTGTCCTTATAAGAGATAGACAGAGACCCAGACACACGGAGGGGACGCCCTTGTGAAGATGGAGGCAGAGACTGGAGTGATGCAGCCACAGGCCAAGATATGCTGTAGCCTCCAGAAGCAAAAGCAAAGGATTGTCCCCCTACAGTCCCCAGAGAGAGTGAGGCCTTGCTGACGCCTTAATTTTTAACTTCTGGCCTCCAGAACTGTGAGAGAATACATTTTTTTTTTTTTTTTTGAGATGGAATTTCGCTCTGTCACCCAGGCTAGAGTGCAGTGGTGCAGTCTAGCTTACTGCAACCTCTGCCTCCTGGGTTCAAGAGATTCTCCTGTTTCAGCCTCCCAAATAGCTGGGACTACAGGCACGCGCCACCACGCCCGGCTAATTTTTGTATGTTTAGTAGAGACGGGGCTTCACCATTTTGGCCAGTTTGGTCTCAAACTCCTGACCTCAAGTGATCCACCCACCTCAGCCTCCCGAAGTGCTGGGATTACAGGCGTGAGCCACCATACCCGGCCCATTTCTGTTATTTTCTTTTAGTGACAGGATCTCGCAATGTTGCCCAGGTTGTAGTGCCATGGCTACTCACAGGCTCCATCATGGCTCACTGCAGCCTCAAACTCCTGGGCACAAATGATCCTCCCACCTCAGCCTCCCAAGCAGCTGAAACTATAAGCATGCACATTTCTGTTGTTTTAAGCCACAAAGTTTGAGGTCATTTGTTACAGCAACCACAGGAGGTTAACAACAGTTGAGCATCCCAAATCTGAAATCTAAAACGTTCCAAAATCTGAAATTTTTGAGTGCCATCATGATCGAATACAAAGCTCTTTGGAGCATTTTATTTTATTTTATTTTATTTTTATTTTATTTTATTTTATTTTTATTTTTTTGAGATGGAGTCTTGCTCTGTCATCCAGGCTGGAGCACAGTGGAGCCATCTCGGCTCACTGCAAGCTCCTCCTCCCGGGTTCACGCCATTCTCCTGCCTCAGCCTCCAGAGTAGCTGGGACTACAGGCACCCGCCACCATGCCCAGCTAATTTTTTGTATTTTCAGTAGAGACGGGATTTCACCATGTTAGCCAGGATGGTCTTGATCTCCTGACCTGGGGATCTGCCCGCCTCAGCCTCCCAAACTGCTGGGATTACAGGCGTGAGCCACCGCGTCCGGCTGCTCTTTGGAGCATTTTAGATGTCAGACATTTGGATTTGGAATGCCCAGTTGGTAAAAGCATATTAATGCAAATATCCCAAAATCCAAAATCTAACCCATTTCTGGTCCCAAGCATTTTGGATAAGGGATATTTAACCTGTACAGCATCCCTCCAGGACGAAAAATCCCAAAAAGGTCCATCCCTTTCTGCATCTCCTCCTCCCCCACCCTACTCCTGGCACCTCCCACTCTTCCGGCATTTTCTCTAAGTGGAAGCAATTTCCCCCAATATGAGTGAAACAGAAGCCAACTGAAATGCCACTTTAGAAATGCCGCACCCTTCACTCTGATCACTCCCCCTGTGCTCAGAATGTAATAGGAAGGCTGGGCACGGTGGCTCACGCCTTTAAACCTAGCACTTTGGGAGGCCAAGGTGGACGGATCACCTGAGGTCAGGAGTTTGAGACCAGCCTGGCCAACATGGCAAAACACCGTCTCTGCTAAAAATACTAAAAATAGCTGGCCATAGTGGCGCATGTCTGTAATCCTAGCTACTCGGGAGGTTGAGGTGGGAGAATCGCTTGAACCTGGGAGGCAGAGGTTGCAGTGAGCCGAGATCACACCGCTGCACTCCAGCCTGGGCAACAAAGTGAGACTCCATCTCAAAAAAAAGAAAGAAGAAAAAAGAAAGTAATAGGAAAAGGGACCCATTTCCAGGAGTCCTGACCCTTATCCGAGGTGGTGCAGTTGTCACTTCTGGGGAGGGAGGGGAGCTTCGTGCATATCCAGCCAGCGCAGCCGGAAGGGGAACTTTCACAGGCCCCAGGGACTGTGTTGGCCCTCAGGGAGGCGAGGGTGGCCCATTATTTTGGTAGGACCCACAGCAAGCCACAGTGTTTAGCTGCAATAAAAAAAAGGGTGGCGAGGGGTTCCTGGGTTTTTTATTTTTTCCATCTTGAAACTGGCAGCATTTCTGATATGATTGCTGGGGATTTCCACCAACCAAATTAAAGACAATTCAGTCTTAGCGTTAACTGTAGGGAGAGAAAGGTGGCGTTTTGCAACCTTCACTAATTATGAAACACTGTCACCAGTACCAAGATGACAATATTTTCCTCCCTCTCAAACAAGCCAGGCTCTGCCATCCTCCCGTGGACAGGGCCCTTCCTTGTCTCATCCATCCTGGGGCACTGCTTCTAGACCACCTTCTCTAACAGCTTTGCTGGGAAACACGCTTGTCCCCTGGGGAATAGCTGAAGCCACCCTCCTGGCTGAAAGAGCTTTTTTTCTTTTTTTTCTGTTTTCTTTTTGAGATGGAGTCTCACTCTGTTGCCCAGGCTGGAGTGCAGTAGCACAATCTCAGCTCACTGCAACTCCACCTCCTGGGTTGAAGCGATTCTCCTGCCTCCGCCTCCCGAGCAGCTGGGATTACAGGTGCTCATCACCATACCCAGATAATTTTTTTTGCATTTTTTTGTAGAGACAGGGATTCACCATGTTGGCCAAGATGGTTTTGAACTCCTGACCTCAAGTGATCCGCCCACCTCGGCCTCCCAAAGTGCTGGGATAACAGGCGTGAGCCACCTCGCATGGCCTGAAAGAACTTTCTGAAGGCCCCACGTTAAGGAAACATTTGCTGGGGCCCCAAACCCCACCATCAGGCCCACACCAGCAGCTGGCCTCAGGGAGGGAGGGAACTGCTCTCTACACAAAAATGGTTTTGAAAATAACCCAGCCAAAGGGGAATTGCTTCATCCGTTGCACATTCACTTCTCCCTTTCACTGTGCAATTGAAGAAAAACAAGGTGAAGCAGGAACCGACTCTCACCATCACCGCTCCCCGCCCCATGAATTCCATCGGACACTCTTGTGCGACAGCGGACTGGCTCTGGGTGCTGGCCTCCAACCACTGGTGGACTGTCCGTCCTGTGAGCCCCCCAGGGGCCGATGCCCTCCCACTCTGCCTGCTCTGTTCTTAGCACAGCCCCTGGGCCCCCGTGGGATCTCAGGAAATACTTGCTAAACATAGTAGCGGAGGAGAAACGGAGCCCACAGCTTAGTGCAAAGACCGGCGGCGTGGACTGAGGCTGTAGAAACGCAGAAACACGCTTTTCCTGCTAGAAGGGGACATCCGCGTGGTCGGGAGTACCTCTGGGGCACGTGCCCTAATTCCAGAAACATCTAAGTGAGCAGTGTGGCCAATGTAGTCTGTTTCTCAACATGGGCTGAGGGGTGTGGGAAGTGGGGCTCAGAAGGAGGCTAGCTTAGGTGTCTCTCGAGCAGGCAACTGGGTTGTTGTGTTCTATTTTTCAGAGATGGGCTCTTGCTCTGTCACCCAGGCAGGAGCGCAGTGGCACTGTAATAGCTTACTGCAACCTTGAACTCCTGGCTTCAAGTGATCCTCCCGTCTGGGCCTCCCAAAGCTCTGGGATGACAGGTATGAGTTACCGCTATCAGCCACAACCGGGTTTTAAGAGCACTCCTCCGGCCCACTCCAGTGTCTTCCATCATTCTGTGCAAGTACCAAAAGAGGACCAAGCCCAGGAAGCCGCCAGCAGGCCTCTCACCAGCCAAGATGGCTGGAATCCTAATATCAAGAAATGAAACTCCAGCAGGCCATGGAAATGCTAAGGGGTTGGCATTTCTGCTCTAGAGAGAGCCAAAGAGAAAGCTCTATTTATATCTCCTTGCGTTTGGTCGCAGCCTCATCAACCAAAAGAACCTTCCGCCCCACTCAACACATCAATCAAATTGGGGAGGGGTGTGAATGGCAGCAGCGGGTGTTACAGAGGAGTCTCAAGGGTATCTTAGAGGATGCCTCTGAAAAGTCGTCCCCTCCAAATCCCCCCAAGATAATTACTAGGATATTCTCCTTACCCCGCCAGCAACGGCACCCCCAGATGATTAAACGCGCTGGCGTCGGAAAGAGCTGGGATTCTGGAGGAGCTACTTGTAAATTGTGTGGGTTGGTGAGTTATTTAACTTTTCTGAGCCTTCATTGCCTTAACTGTAAAATGAAGACAACACCACTCAGTTCCTACGGTTGTCCAACTGAAATCACCTAGGTAAGAACGACCAGTTCTTTGGGGAGTAATGTCCCTATGGCGCCATTCAATTGACAAGAGCACCAAGGCACCGTCAGGCACTCCTGGAAGAAAGCAGGGGGTTAGCCCTTGGTTTTAAAGTCCCCAGGGAGCAGTAAACCTTCCCCTCCGAGAGCCCTGAGTGAGGAAAAATAGCCCCCTCCCACTCCAACCCACGGCACACCCGCCCCACATCCACGCGCGGCTGTGCCCAGCATTTCAGAGGTGGGACTTCTCAGGAGGCGGTGGGAAGGCCCCCTTAATGGAGTCTGGTGGGGTTCAAGATCCGCAGGTCCCTCCTTCCAGGGAACACCTACACCAAGTGAGAGCTGGCCCATCAGCTCCGCGCTCCATCCGCAAACTGGGCAGATCCCAGGGGGGCCACGCGAGGAACCTGCATCTTGGCCGCTCCAGGGCGCCCCCCACCCGCGACCCCGGAAATCTCGCCCCTACCTGCTTCACCCTCGCTCCACCCAGAGCGCACTTTCGGGACCTCCCAGCGGCCCTTCCCCGGTTCTCTGGACCCCCGTCTTCCCGCCCCGCAACGCCCCCATCCTGGTGCCCACGACAGGTCGCGCCAGTTCCCCTCTTCTCTATCTCAAAGGAAGAGGTGCAGATGAGGAAGCCTAAATAAAAACAGGAAACTCGATTTTTTTTAAAAAGCCTCATTCAGGCTGAATTACGGGTAAGAGTATTTTATAAAAAAAAGTCCGGAAATGCAAAGCTGGGGGCGGTTTTGCCGGCGTAACCCCGGCTCGGCCGCAGATCCGGAGCTGATCTTGCCTGCGCCGCTGCAGCAAACGCGGCGAACAGCGCGGGCGGCCCGGGACGGGGAGGCGGGGCGCGGGTCCACAAGCCGGGAGGAAGCCCCGGAAACTTCCACCCTGGTCCCTCTGCAGCTCCGCTCCCCACTTGCCCGGGCTGGGAAGGGCGCACAGGAACCAGGCGCCGGCAAACTGTGCACAGCCCTCTCTCCGCGCCAGGGCACTTGGTCGACACCGCCAGCGCGCCCTCTGTGGACCCAGCCGCCGTACAGAAGAGGTCTCTGGTCCTCTCGCCAGCGCTCGGAGCGGGCGCACGCGCTGAGCGCTTGCAGTTTCCTCTTGCCTCGGCCGGCGCACGGGAGGCCGCACCTCCGCTGGGAGCTCAGCCGAAACCCAGCCGCCGGGCCAGACGGGCAAGGCGCGCAGTGCAGGCACCGGAGAGCTTCACGCGCCCCTCTCGGCGGGCCCATGGGGGACGGCCCCGGGCCTCTAGGGCAGCCCCCGCTCAGGTCCCAGCAGCCCGGCCCCCGGGGCTCCCAGGGCCCGGCTCGCTAGACGCAGGGAGGTGCCCAGGGCCAGGGCGCATGGGCTGTGCGTGCCGGAGAGACGCCCGCCAGCCAGCCCCGCGGCCCCGAGCGCAGCCGCGGCTCCCAAAGCCCCTGGCCGCGGTCCTCTTCCCACCTCCCCTGATGCAGCCAGCGGCGATCGCTTACCTTCCTGGCGCAGCTGGCAGGGCTGGGAGGCTCGGCTCGCGGCCGCTCGGAGCGACGGCGCTGGGCGCGAGTGAGCCTCGAGGGAGGGAGGCGGGGCGCGGCGGTGCGCCCCGCCTGCCGCCAGCCCGCACACTCCACTTCCCACTTTGTTTCCTTTTCACTTACAACAGGAAAAACAACAGGTCCCCCAGGGCCTCGCCTTCCCCCGCCGCCCACACCCCCAAGCTCGCCTACTGCTAGAGGAGCATCATCCCAGGTGCCTCTGGAAGCTGCACCTTGCCCTTCTACAAAACAAGTTTTCTTTTTATGCAAAGGAAAACGACCATATAAAGGTCCTAGGCGCCCCTAAGCGCTCCGCCTTCACGCAGGAAAGAATTTCAACAGCAGCGGGAGAAAGGCTGAGAGCGGGAGAGAGAGAAGGGGTAACCTGCAGCTCTAGGCACCCAGGGACCCCAAGCACCACTGCGAGGTGACCAGTGTTGGGGCTCAGGACATACACCCAAAATATGACTGTGGGAGACCAGCATGTGCCACCCCAAAATATACTTCTTCAGCATATTTTGAAGGTATTATTCTTAGAAACTGAAGGCATAGGAGTAGCTCTGAAAAGCTGTCCTTTTGTAAAATGATTTATATATATAAAGAAAATCTCCAGGCTTGGCACTGTGGCTCACTCCTGCAATCCCAGCAGTTTGGGAGGCCGAGGTGGCAGGATCGCTTGAGCCCAGGAATTTGGGCCAGCCTGGGCAACATAGGGAAACCCCTGTCTCTACAGAAAATTTAAAAATTAGCCAGTCGTGGTGGTGCACACATTGTAGTCCCAGCTACTCGGGAGGCTGAGGTGGGAGGATGGCTTGAGCCAGGGAGATGGAGGCTACAGTGATCCATGATTGCACCACTGCACTGGGAAGCAAAGTGAGACCCTGCGTCAAAAACAGAAAAGGAAAATCTCCATTGGTAAAGTATTAGTATCAGGCAGAGGGCTGCTCAGAGCTAACTTTTCTTACCTGAAAAATTTTATCTGCATGAGACGACAAGCTTCATTCACCATACCCTCTTCTCCCCTCACTCTCCCTCAACTTATGTACCACGTCCCCAGGATCCCAAGCCTCTATTCCTTTTTACCTTTTCTTTTCTGTTTTTTTTTTTTTTTTTTTTTGAGACAGAGTCTTGCTCTGTTGTCCAGGCTGGAATGCAGTGGTGCCATCTCAGCTCACTGCAACCTCTGCGTCCTAGGTTCAAGCAATTCTCCTGCCTTGGCCTCCCAAGTAGCCGGGATTACAGGCACACGCCACCAGACCCAGCTGATTTTTGTGGGGTTTTTATGTTCTTTGTTTTGTTTTGTTTTGTTTGTTTTGAGGAGTCTTGTTCTGTTGTCCAGGCTGGAGTGCAGTGGCGCCATATTGGCTCACCACATCCTCTGCCTCCTGGGTTCAAGCGATTCTCCTGCGTCAGCCTCCCAATTAGCTGGGACTACAGGCACACACCACCATACCTGGCTAATTTTTGTCATTTTTAGTAGAGGCAGGGGTTTTGCCATGTTTGCCAGACTGGTCTCGAACTCCTGACCTCGTGATCCGCCCACCTCAGCCTCCCAAAGTGCTGGGATTGCAGGTGTGAACCACCACGCCTGACCCGAGCTCCTATTCCTTTCTGAAGGAATGTTTCCTGTCCCTTGTAGGATGTTATATGAGCTTTACTCATCTGATCCTTTGTCCAGTCTCATATTTTGTGGGATTCCCATGCATAGGTCATAGTTACACATGCTTTTTCTCTTGTTAATCTCTCTTATGTAAATTCAATGTGTAGCCCAGCCAAGGAATTTAGAGGGTAGAAGGAGGCCACTCCCTCCTCCCCTACAGCAGGCATGAGTGAGAGGCTGGGGGAGACAGCCCAGGGCCTAAGTCCCTCCTTGCTCAGCCCGGGGTTGACAGCAGCGATCTCCCAGCTTTGGTGGACCAAGAGCATGGGGGTGGTGGGTGAGCCCACCCCTGAGATTACAACAGTGGCTTCATATCCTTCCAGGATAGGGTGAAGGGTGAGCCAGTCAATTACTTAGTGAAACAACGGCTTAAAGCACCCTCTTCAATCCAGCCTGGGAGGTAAAGGAGCTGTTATTGGTCCCTCGGATGGATGAGGGATTTGAGGCTTAGATAAGGACTTTTTCTTTTCTTTTCTTTTCTTTTGAGATGGAGTCTCGCTCTGTCGCCCAGGCTGGAGTGCAGTGGTGCGATCTCAGCTCATTGCAACCTCTGCCTCCCAGGTTCACGCCATTCTCCTGCCTCAGCCTCCCAAGTAGCTGGGACTACAGGCGCCCCCCACCACGCCCAGTTAATTTTTTGTATTTTTAGTAGAGACGGGGTGTCACTGTGTTAGTCAGGATGGTCTTGATCTCCTGACCTCGTGATCTGCCCGCTTCGGCCTCCCAAAGTGCTGGGATTACAGGCGTGAGCCACCACACCCGGCGAGAAGGACTTTTTCTACCCAAGAGATGCCTGGGCCTCTCAGGACCACCTTGGGCCCTGTGCCTGCTGGCTCCAGAGGCTGCAACAAGCAGAGGCCCAGGTCAGGCATGATGGCTCGTGCCTGTAGTCCCAGTACTTTGGGAGGACGAGGCTGGAGGATCACTTGAGGCCAGGAGTTTGAGACTAGCCTGGGTAACATGGCAAAACCCAGTCTCTACAAAAAAAAAAAATAGAAAAAATTAGCCGATGTAGTGGTGTACACCTGTAGTTCCAGCTTCTCGGGAGGCTGAGGTGGAAGGATCACCTGAGCCCTGGAGGTCGAGGCTGCAGTGAGCCATAACTATTCCACTGCACTCCAGCCTGGGTGACAGAGTGAGATTCTGCCTCGAAAAAAAGAAAAAAAGAGAGACAGAGAGAGGCCCAGAGACCATTATTCCAGCCAGGAAAGGGGAGAGGGCTTGGGTAAGATGGAGTGGCTTTCTAAATTGTCCCGGGTTTTTGTTTTTTGTTTTTTGTTTTTTTGTTTTTTGAGACAGGGTCTTGCTCTGTCACCCAGGCTGGAGTGCAGTGGCATGATCTCGGCTCACTGCAACCTTGCCTCCTGGGTTCAAGTGATTCTCATATCTCAGCCTACCAAGTAGCTGCCACCATGGCTGGTTAATTTTTGTATTTTTTAGTAGAGACAGGGTTTCACCATGTTGGCCAGGCTGGTCTGAAACTCAGACCTCAGGTGATCTGCCCGCCTCAGCCTCCGAAAGTGCTGGGATTACAGGTATAAGCCACTGTGCCTGGCCTGGTCCAGGTTTTCTAAGATGCAGGCTACAGGTTCTGTATTCTCCAGCGGACACTTGCAGAGGAGCCAGGAAGGACCACGGGTGCCTTTTGGAAGGAAAGTTGGACCTGTCCCCAGGAATGCACACTAACATCCTTCCTGGGGTAGGCTCACAGCCTCATGCCTACCCCAGGCTCCGATCACTGGGCCTTAGCAGCAGTCTCTAGCCTGCTTCAAGGATGCCAAGAGCCAGAAGAGAAATGGACATTTCAGAAGGAACTCTAACAACCGAGCGAGCAGCCTGTCCTGAGGCTTCCTAACACCTGGCCCTAACCATGCTTTTGCTAGGCTGCACTTTCAGTGCTGCTCTCTGGTCTTTAGAGTTTGTTGCAAGAAAGAGCCAAATGAGGAATGGTTTTGCATCTTCCAAAGGAATTCTTCATTGAATATGTATTTGCTGACAGCAATTCAAATCGTGCTTTTTACTATGCAAGACGCTGCCAGGAGAATGAGGCATGCCAAGTTGCCAAGCACTAAGATGTGCCTTACATATTGTTCTCTTTGAGCCCCGTGAAGGAAACCAGAATATGTCCCCCCAAAATATACCTCTTTGACATAAATATTTTTGAGCTGAAGGCAATTAAGAAGCAGCAAGCAGATGAAGAGATCTTTCTATCCTCTCCCCCTTTCTGCCTGTTAAATAAAATTTGCAGGAAGCCATTGATTGGGACAAGACCCCTGTACCGGGTCCAGCAGACCAAACCAATATGGAGTCACTCATGCTAAATGAAACTAATTAACTTAAGAGTATATACATGTAGCAAATAGCTGAGTTTTTGTCAGTTACAACAGCTGAGCTTTAGTAGATCTTAGGTGGCCAACTGATTCAAACAAAGCAAACACTGTAACCAATTAAGCTCTATAGCTTACTTCTGTTTTCCATCCATAAACACT